AACAAAATCTTGGACTCAAACTGCAGTTACTTGTTAAAATAAAAGTAAAACACTTCCAATTAGTCATTTAATGTCTGTCATCAATCAATTTGTTGAAACTTTTCACTTGTAGTTAATTTCTTCTGTCATTAGCATGCAATACATAATGCGTTCTGTATAATAGAAAAATCTTCTTTGAAAGGAATTTATCCAGAAAATACTGGCGAGAGTTTGCATGGATTATGCAGAAAAAATTAAGCTAAATGGGCATTTTCACATAACATATAGACAAGGATTAAAGTGGACTTTTCATCTGCATATTTTAGACCATTGTAAAGTAAGTGTTAAAATTGAATTTATATGTTGTGCAGAATTGCCAGAAGTTGTATATATTATCATCATTTATAGTTGCTTCCTGGTCTCTTTCAGTAGCCTTTGCATACATTATTCTTTTCTCAATGGAGAGTAGATTACCGAGGCACAACTATATTTTAGGCTTAATATCCGATCCCACAGAATGTGGGAATTAATTGACAGATTAATCCCAAAACTTAAAATTATACCGACTTAAAATCTAAATCTCAAAATTTATGATAAAATAGCCAAGCCCTGACTATAGATAATCTGGAGATTTTTTTTTCAGACTTTTTTCAACTATATTAAGTCAAAAGCTATGGAGTAAACTCACAGGTCTCTTTGCACCACTAACACTATTTCCACTTCTCTTTTGTTTGTGTCCCCCTCTTCAAACCCTTAAAGAGACACTGTAGTCACCAAAACAACTTAATGAAGCAGTTTTCAGTGTATAGATCATGCCTCTGACATCTTACTGCTCAATTCTCTGCCATTTAGGAGTTAAATCACTTTTGTTTCTGTTAATGCAGCCGTAGCCACACCTCCCCTGGCTCTGACTGACACAACCTGTATGAAACCACAATTGATTTATTTTAAATCACATGTTAACTTACTTTAAATGTTTTTTATCTCCTGCTCTTTAACTTGAACTTTTATTACATACATGAGGCTCCTGCAGACTCTAGCAAACTATTAACAAAGCAGAAGATAAGAAATTCCAAATTAAACAGAATTTCAATAAAGGATGTATAAGCATTAGATGATTCTTTACAGGAAGTGTTTAGGAAGGCTGTCTGAGGACTGACCAGTGAAGTTATCACTAAGCTGTAATGTAAACACTGCATTTTCACTGAAACAAGCAGTGTTTACAGTAAAAAGCCTGAAGGTAATGATTCTACTCACCAGAACAAATTTAATAAGCTGTAGTTGTTCTTGTTCTAGATGATTTACTGCAAACCAATTAGTTTGAATGACTATCTGTTCCTGTCCAAATTAAAGATAATAAAGTTGCGTGCACGCAGAAGTAAATTCACACTGAGACACAAGGTTCAGGGTAATGAAAGAACTTCAGAGAAGTTTAATGGCTTCTGACAGAAAATGGGTGCGCAGACCCTTATAAAGGCATTATTACATCATTGAAGAAAATCAAGATATAGACAAATAGACATTGTTAATTGGCTTAGGTGCTAAGATGTTAGTAAAATGCCCTCCCCATTCTTAGGTCACTATCTACGTAATTTCTTAACTCCTACAGGTTTTAGCGCCATCTTGCTAAAATGAGGAGCTCACTCGACGGGAGGGGCCTTTTGGCAGCTATCCATTTGGAGCGTAGCTGGCACTTGTTAGTTTCTCAAGGTTAAGTTTCAAGGATTTTAGTAAATACACATTTTATCAAAGCTATTTCTTGCTGACATGCAAATTCTATGTTCTATAGACAAAGCTTCCTTGTAAAACTATGGGGGGCCTCTTAGAGGTATAGCAAGAGGATTTAAAGGGGCCTTACAAATTTATAGAGGCCTAATAATTCTACAACAGTCCCCCCTAAAATGTTATTTGCTAAAAGACAAAACTTTATTTGTTAGTATCAGAAGAAGTATTAGCCCAAAGACAAAGAAACCCCATGACCGCTGACTTAGTGTTAATGCAAAGTGCAAGTCTATCCCTCTCTTGACCCTAACAGGCTGCAGCACATCCGTCAGTACGGTTCAGGAACACTCTTCACTCCGCTGGTAACCCATAGTGGCTTATCCACTACTTCTCCGTACGGCAGTCTACCCATAAAGACGGACGCTGTCCCTGTACTGTCCCTTCCTAGACTTTCTGCACTTCATCAGTATAAGGGAGAGTTTGTAGCGGAATACAGGGTGAGATGAGGTCTTGATCATCGATTGTCAGATGAGTGAAGGTTGGTGTTGCTTGGTCTACAGTTTTCTGCAGGAATTTCCTTAGGCATGGGAGGACACAACAAATGAGAAGAGCGAGAATAAAAAGAAAAATTAGTAAGGCAATACCAATCTGGACTAAAGCTCTCTGCCAACCAGTCATCCAACCAAACCATTTTTCCCAGGGATCAGTAACTCCAGAGTTTCTCTTTAACTCTTCTGAGAGTCTATTTAATTTAGCTATGGCTAGAGTGACTTTACCATTAGGACCTGTGTTTTCTGGAATGTAAGTGCAACAAGTCATAGTGTCGGGAAGTATTTTACAGACTCCCCCTTTTTCGGCTAAGATCATGTCTAAGGCCAGTCTGTTCTGGAAGGTCATTTGGGATGTGGCCTGTAATTGCTCGGCCAAGCCCTGGAGGGCATCCCTGGTGTAGTTCACGAAGCGCTGTTGGTTGTAATAGATATAATTAATCCAATTAAGGTTTTTGTTGGCAGTGACTATGGTAAAAAGTGATTCAAAACCTACAGCTACTTCATCTCTAGCTTTAAATTCATTAGGTACCCCCCTAGGCACCCCAATGGCATCTATGTAAATGTGGGGGTCAAAACTGCCTTTTACTGGGGTTTCGCGCCTTACTCTGGCTGATGTATGTGGAGGGTCGTATGTGTCATGATGATTATCAGAAATAATATGAATGGGCATGATAACTTTGGCCAGGGTACACTCACCCCACCACTCAGTTTCCAGCCTAGATCTTAACTGTAGATCCCCACATAACCAGTAAATATCCCCCAATGACCTGGTATGGTGTTGCAACAGGCGTATAGGAACAGTTCTGTAAGTGGCGCAATAACCTTTAGAAAAGTTACCCATGAATTTACCAATCCCGTCATACATGGCATAACAAGTGTAATTACCTCTATAGACTGTGACTCCATCTGGTGGCTTAACATTTTCAACTAAGAGAGGGTATTCTGCCGTCCATGCCATGCAGAGGGACCTATTAAAGTCATATTGGTAGGCAAAAAGGCTTAAGAAGCAATCTTCTATCTCTAAAGGGAGAGTTAGGGGGACGGTGCCAAGGTGGGGTCGGGCACCGCCACATACATAACATGCTGTTTTATTATGTTTGTTAGCATTATACCTCATCCATTCTAACCACAAATTAATGTCATTGAATCCAGTTTCAGCGGCCATGGTATCTTCAAAAGTGGGGTTAGCGATGACCATCATATCTTTAAAGGACTGGATATGTGGTTTTAGCGGATTTGGGACCATATGATCAGCCCCTTGCCACTCTGGAGAGTGGTACATATCTCTGAGGTAGAAATGACCTAATTTGTTGTAGGAACCTTTCTTCCAATACATTCCCATTACATATCGGTCTGCATCCTCGGGGCCAGGATGTTCAATATTTAACATTAATTTCATAGGGGTACTTCCTCCAGGCTTTCTTAAAGTCATTCTTTGAAGGAGGGATCTACCCTGATTGTCTATCTTAGATAAAGCACTTTTGGGTTTATAACCCCAGGCAGGCCCAGTATTCCATCCCGCAGCCCCCCAGTAGTTACAGTCATAACCCCATTGTTCATCTACTACACAAACGTAAGGGTCTTTTGCTTGTGGTATATCTTTATAAATGGCTTGAATCTGTGACTTAGGGAATGGGCACTCTACAATATCACAGTAATCAAAAGTGAATGTAGCCACATGGGTACATGATGAATTATACCAGAAGGTGTACCCACTAGCATCTTTGGTGATGGCCACCTGCTGGGCTTTAAGGAGGCCAACTAAGGAGATAATGTACCAGAGGCACATGGTTGCATAGAGTTAGCTTCCTCTGGGGCAGGTGTCTTCTTGCAATGGGAAGCGTGGATCCAGTTAGGCCTTCCGGCCAATTTGACAGAGGTAGGGGAGATCAGGAGAACTTGGAACGGTCCGTCAAATCTTGGTTCCAGGGTATGTTTTCGCACAAATTTCTTGACCAGAACCCAGTCACCGGGGAGCAGACTGTGGTTGCCTGTGTCAGAATCAGGATCTGGAATTGAAGAGAAAACTTGGGCATGGATTTTGTTCAAAGCATTTGCGAGTTCAGTTACATAATCTACTAAAACATCAGTTTGAAGTTGCAGTTGTTGGGGAAAATAGCAACCTAGCCTAGGTGCAGTCCCAAATAGAATCTCGTATGGGGACAATGAGGTAGTATTTTTGTACAAGAGCATTCATTAGATCTTTTGATAAATGTGCAGGTCTGTGTGCCCATTGTACGACTGCTGGGTACAAATTCTTAGGGAGGCAGAAATTGAGGTTGTTGGAGTACACTCCATCCTTCAGAACTGCCCCTTTCTGTTTCCACTTCTGTATTTCTTCAGGGGCAACTGTAGCCTGTTGTTCCCGCAGGATTTTCAGGTCAGTTGGAAGAGTCTGCAGAGTAAATATGGGAGTTTCTTCATTTCCGGACACTCTTCTTTCCACTTCCTGTGGTTCTTCTTGCAGCTTGTTTTGCAGCCTGATCAGCTAGATGGTTGCCCTTTGCTTCATCTGAGTCCAACTTCCCATGTGCCTTTACCTTCAGAATGGCCACTTCTTCTGGGAGTAGGAGGGCGTCCATCAGCTCCTTGATTGCGGAACCGTGCTTGATTGGTGTACCGGCGGTAGTAAGAAATCCTCTTGTTTTCCAAATTAATCCGAAGTCGTGAGCCACGCCCAGTGCATATCTTGAATCCGTGTAGATATTGGCGCGCTTTCCTTCAGAGATCTTGCATGCTGAAGTCAGGGCTTGCAATTCAGCTTCTTGTGCAGACATAGTTGATGGTAAAGATGATGATTTGACAATTTCATCTGTTGTGGTTACGGCATATCCTGTATGGTATCTTCCTTCTTCATCAGCATATCTTGAGCCGTCCACAAACAGGGTGAGATCGGGATCTACCAATGGGTCTTCATGCACAGTTGGTAGATGTGTTGTTTCCATTTTCATCTGTTCAAAACAGTCATGAGGTGTATTTGGGTCGTAGTCATTTACTATGGTTAAATCTTGGAACTCATTTTCCAGGAAATGATGTGGCCATGCTTTTAGGTGGTCAGTTGTTGGATATTTGACAACACCATTTTCCTGTAGCTGTGATTCGTCTATAGTGGCCCATACTTTTGCCATAGGCCCAAGATCATTCCATGATATTGTTTTCAACTTGGTCACAGGGACATGTGGAATGGCAGTGTCCCAATGACGGTACAAATGCTTGAGTTCCGGAGGTAGATGAATCAAGACCATACTGTTGCCTTCAGAATCACAGTAGAAGTCTTGTGCAGTGAGTTTTACTTCGACCAGATTATAGAGTTCATCTTCATAGCAGGGTTCAGGAGTGATGTTTGGTTTGTACCACATGGTACAGAAGGCATATCCTGCTCCGTCATGAAGGAGTGCTTGTCCATCATGAAAGGATAGGTTGGGATGCATTTCCTTCTTGATGGTGCCAGTGAGAAGAAAAACATAAGTTTCGTCCATGATGAATCCATACTATACACCCCCCTCAGGGAGTGGCAGAAGAGTGGACGGATTGAGAACTTGACATCTTTGGAGGGTAATGTTGTCAGGCAACAAAAGATGACATTGAAGGCGAAGATGCCTAGCAGGAGTAACATGCTTAAGTTGGACCTGGTTGACTATGGCAGAAATGTCATGAGGGGCCAAGACAACCAGGGGGTGGCCAAGGACAAGATCCCCAGTTCTTTCAATGAGCTCTCTGGCAGCAAAGACGGCCCGAAGGCAAGAGGGACGTCCTCTGGCCACAATATCCAGTTGGCAGGAGAAAAATCCAATAGGCCCTTTGGCGGCCTCCAGGACCATGGGCCTGAGTGAGTACTCCTGTTGCATGGCCTTGTCTTTCAGAAACAAACAATTTGAAGGGTTTGGTATAGTCTGGTAGGCCAAGAGCAGGAGCAGAAGCAATAGCACGTTTGAGAGAACAGAAGTTGTCAAGGGCTTCTGTGGACAAGCAAAATGGGTCTGACTTGAGAGCATCATAAAGAGGTTGCATAAGGAGCGAGGCTTCTGGGATCCATGCTCGGCAATAGGAAATGAGGCCTAGGAAGGCGTGTAGTGACTTTGAGATCCTTGGAGGTGGAATGTCCAGTACTGCTCTAACTCGGTCACGAGTGAGATGTCTGGTTCCCTGAGACAGACAATGGCCAAGGAAGATAACAGTAGATTGGCAATATTGCAGCTTGGGACGTGAAGCTTTACATCCTTGTTCTGCTAGGTAGCAAAGAAGATTAATTGAGCATTGTTCTGTTGTGGGTAGATCATCTCCACAGTAAAATGGGAAGGGAACAAAGAACTGTAGTGTCTTTTCGTGGCAAAGGCGTATTTAATTGAACCTGGCCGTCTGCAGTGAGGGTGATGGATGCTTGGAGGCAGGATAGGACATCAGCACCAACACAAGAGACATCGGTGTCAGGCAGGAACGATGAGTCAGGCAGGTCTTGTTCTCTAGGAACACTGCGGGATGCACCTGTGTTAACCAGGAAACCAGGAAAGCAGTAGGGTGACCTTCAATAGGTAAAGTTACAGTGGCTAGTGGCCCCCCTTGTTCCCTGTAGACACTGCCATGGCAGGGGCATTAAGCATCAGCGGGTTTGCTCTCCTCTGTATGGGCTGTGTTACTGACTCAAACCCCTTTCTATGTCATTAGCCATAGCTTTTTGCAGTCTGAACATGTCTATCATTATAAATAATGGTTAATAGTAAGTTAAGTAAAGTTCCTATATGTCTTTGGATAAAACATTAACTATTGCGGTACTATCATTTATATTAATTAGACTATAACAATTATACCACCCTGTAACTAAAATGAATAACCAGTAGTGGCTGGGTTAATAAACATGTCACAAACCCTTCTAATGCTAAACCATCATTTAAAGTAAAGGATGTTACTGTAAACATACGATCTGTAACTAGCAAGATTCGATTAAGCAAAGATACAATGTTTAAAATAACTTGCATTATTTGGCTATTTCCCTTGTTGCAAGATTAATCTGGATAATCAGCTGTTATGCTCTTATATTCGTGTCCAACAGATTTCATATGTAGGTCACACCACATTTGCAAATTACATTTTAGCAACCTTCTTTTTTTTTTTATATCACGGACAAATTGTTGATACAGGGAAACAAATGGCATGATTGTTTTAGTAATTATCTAAATGGGACGAGCATAATAGGGGTAGGCCTCATGATGGAGGCAGCCATGACAGGGGCGGGGAAGGAAATGACAGCAAGGGAGGAAGTGAGAGGGGTGACGTCCATGATATGTGTGGGAAAGGAAGACAGGAGGTGTGGGCATGGTAAGGGCGGAAGTGACGTTACTTTAGAAGCAACCGTGACTGTGGATAGGTCACGGGACTGGCAGGCGCCATCTTTAGGGTGGTGGTTGATGTACTTTCAACCATACACTATATTATAACTAATAAAATAAGTCAGAGAAGCAACATTCTGTTCTGCAAAATGGAATACTAAACTATGAACAGACCTGGCAGGTTAAATAAGACAGTTGAGAACATTATGCATTTAACAGCCCATACAGCTGTTTCTAGAAACATGTACTTTAAAATAACTTTAAAATAATAAAATGATGCAAAATAAACTCGCGGAATTCAACCAAATTCCCTTATCTTCCTCAAACCATTAATCACTTTCCCTCTTATACTGACTTAACAACATCGCATATTCCCTCTACACCTTCCTAAATCCCGTATTCAACACTGAATGCAATCTTGTGAGCTCGTCACTCCCACAATCCTCAGTACCTTATACTCTTATCAGTAGCTTCTGAATAACTCTACAGAACACCGAAGAGACAGACCTAAATCGCAAGCATGTCACCACCCCCCCCCGCGTCTCACAGAAGCGAGGGGAGGGGGGGGTGTTTTAGCAGAGGGGGATTTGAGTGGAACAAGAGAGAGACTGCCTGCCAGCACGAATTTAACCATGTCAACGCTGTACAGTAACAAGACAGAAGGACAATTACATTACAAAGCAAAAACACAACATTTCATTTAAACCCCCACCCTCTACCAGGGTAATGGCTAACACAAAATACAAAACCCCCACAGCGTTTTAAGATTGGGGTGGGATGGTGACCATGGTCAGCTACATTTCGGTCATTACTGACAGGATGATGGAAGTGGTCACCTCCTGGACAGGGCACTGGCTGGGATAACTTCCCAGTAACACAATTATTATGATATACATACAATCTTAAACCTTTGTGATCAATATCTTCCTCAACCTATCCCTTTTGCTGAATAGCTCTTGCTACTCGGTACCAGGCTTCTGCTGTACAAACCAAATCTTGGTCCGACAGCTTCTCTTTCTTCTCTGTCAGTAACTTACGCCAGCTCTCTGGCTACAATCTGCAGCACAGAGGTACGGTAATTCCACATACTTTAGCAATCTTCCTCACTTTCTTAACCATCTCTTCTCCTTCTCTGTCTTCCACTAGATCACATGCTAACCAACCCTTACTGGGTTTATCTAACTTCTGTCCCATCCTCCCTATATAAGGCGTCCCAGATATAGAGAGAGAAAGGAACAGAACGTCTACCGTGCTCGACTGCTACTTTAAGAGCAAGCTCTTTAAGTACGCCTTCCCAAAACGTAGACTAGTCACTAATTCCGCCTACCCGTGGTAGCCGCGGATTGGAGCGTGGCGAGAAGTGTGTGACCAATCACTTCTCTCAACAAAGAGAAAGAGAAATAGGAGGGGAAAGTGTAAATAGTACAGTGAGTAAGATAAAAGTAAACACAGGAATCTGTGTGACAGACAATTAAGACAATAACATTTCAGTGTAAATACAGTGAATGCATCACAGTTCAAATAAGTTCAACAGTTTTATCCCTTGCCTTTACTCGTGTGGCCAAAAGCCACCTCCCTCAACCTCGTAGTGTCCCTGTTGCGGACCCACCCGCAAGTCTCACTACCAGCAGCCACAGGAAACAGCAACAGCTTCCAACCCGAATCCTGTATAGCCTAAAGAATTGGAATCTTACCTGTCTCAGCGCTTGAGACTGGAATTTTACCAAGAAGAAGTGTCTGATGAGGCTAGCTAAGCGGTCAAAATGACACTCTGGGGATCCCCAGGAAGCAGTGAGTCTACTGCCCTCCACAGATCCCCCCTACTCTTTTTCCTTACAGCCACAGCCACGTGGCTCCTAAAAGAGTTAAACAGGCAATAGAGGACCCCCAGGAAAACTTCCACAGGTCCACCCCCCTTTTTCCTTACTACCACAGGCATGTGGTACCTAAAAGGAGTTAAACAGGCACTTACACTCCCCGGGTACTAAGTTAAACACATACCAATACAAACACACCCAGGCAACAGATAGTCAACATGCAGGTAAACTAGGTATCATTAACAATACAAAGACTCTGGGCAAGTTATTACCTGACTTTGATGTCCTCTCGGCAGCAGTCACAGACACTGGGGCAGGTCAATCACAGGGGTAGGAACATACCGGCTAGGTGCTGCAGCAATCTCTACCGTGTATTCAGAGGTGATCAGGCTCTTTTCCTTCCCCCAGGATTCAGCCCCCCCAGCGTCTTCTTGGACAGCTGCCCAGACTGGACATAGCCCAGAGCCCCACGTTGGGCGCCAATTGTTCTAGATGATTTACTGCAAACCAATTAGTTTGAATGACTATCTGTTCCTGTCCAAATTAAAGATAATAAAGTTGCGTGCACGCAGAAGTAAATTCACACTGAGACACAAGGTTCAGGGTAATGAAAGAACTTCAGAGAAGTTTAATGGCTTCTGACAGAAAATGGGTGCGCAGACCCTTATAAAGGCATTATTACATCATTGAAGAAAATCAAGATATAGACAAATAGACATTGTTAATTGGCTTAGGTGCTAAGATGTTAGTAAAATGCCCTCCCCATTCTTAGGTCACTATCTACGTAATTTCTTAACTCCTACAGGTTTTAGCGCCATCTTGCTAAAATGAGGAGCTCACTCGACGGGAGGGGCCTTTTGGCAGCTATCCATTTGGAGCGTAGCTGGCACTTGTTAGTTTCTCAAGGTTAAGTTTCAAGGATTTTAGTAAATACACATTTTATCAAAGCTATTTCTTGCTGACATGCAAATTCTATGTTCTATAGACAAAGCTTCCTTGTAAAACTATGGGGGCCTCTTAGAGGTATAGCAAGAGGATTTAAAGGGGCCTTACAAATTTATAGAGGCCTAATAATTCTACAACAGTTTGATGGGGGTAAATTACATTGGCTGGCTTCAAAAATGTCCCAAATAGGACATGGGTGCATGATGACCAGCTGTGAAAATTCCAAGTTGGAAAACTGGAATGCGCACCATCCAAATAAGGTCTTTTAGTCCCCAGAGAACCCGACACACCTGCATGGGTGTTATCACTGTACTCAGGAGATGCTGCTGAACATATATTGGGTGTTCTTTGGCAGTAACACCTAACAGGAGCTGAGAATCCATGCCTAAAGTAAAATGTGT